CTGTTGGTTAGCAGCCATAGCTCTTAACCTCTGTGCCACTAGGGCTCATATAGAGCAAGCTATTTATTTATATTAGTAGCTATACTGCATGAATTCGGTATATACATGTCTTTTTTTCCTGGCAGAAATTACAAAAAAATACTCTGAATAAGCGTTATGTTATTACTTTAGAAATATGTAGGAGAGTGAAGCTTTTCTTTTGTTTTACGATTCTCTGCACTGTTTGCATTTCCTAACCTTTAAAAAAATGGCTACAGGATTTATTGAAGTAAAGAGATAAGGGTCCATTCTTCTTCTGTGTTTTTCTATGTACCTAAATACATATATTACAACTAATAAGCATATACAAGTTGTCCCCGACTTATGATGTATTCAAGTTATGACAACCATCTGTTTTTGTTTTTTTTTGTTGTTGTTGTTTTTGTACATCTTAGCATTAGTAGTATGTACTACATACAATGTTGCAGCATATAGTTTGCTGAGACTATCATTGTCAGACGTTCACTCATAAATGTTCAGTGTTATGATTTACTGTTCAAAACACGGCCGTATAGCAGGCCATAGCCTGGTCTGCGAGAGAGTCCGGTGTCGGTGTCGAGAGTCGTTAGGGATAAAAAGTTGGGCAATGTTCAACTCTAACAACATCCCACGATTGAACTACACACGCGCCCTACAGCTGCTTTAACTCCAACTTCATTGTTAGGACACTGACGTCAACTTCCTTGTAGACCAGGCCTGTAGGGTGATCTTATTCAGCGTTTTGTACCATCAGAAGCATCAGGTGTTAATTTGAAACTGAGTTGTTCCAACCCTAAAGACAAAATAAGATCAGATTTGTAAGGATACTGATAATAAAAGGCAGTAATAAGAAAAGGGGGAAAAAAAGGTATTGGACTTATGTCAGAGCCGACTTGTGACCAAATCAGCAGAATGGAACCCCATCATAAGTCAGGGACTACCTGTACTGAAAAAAAATACACATACCCTTTTCCCCAGCAACTTGGTAAACTATCCCATGGGAATAAAAGCATCAGTAAGTAAGGATATATGAGCAAGGCTATTTATTGCATTGCAGATCTTTGTCATGGCAAATGCTGAATACAACCTGAATATCTATTAATGCAGGCCTCAAAAAAAATTGTGGCAATACATACTATAAAATAGCGGTTCTCAAACATTTGGTCTCTGAACTCCTTTACATTCCTAAAATTATTAACAATTTCAAAAAATTTTTGTTTATATGGGTTGAATCTGTCAATATTTATTGTATTGGAATATGAAATTGAGAAATTTTGAAAATGTTTAAAACAATAACAAACATACCACATGTTAACATAAATAACATTTTATGAAAAGTTTCTATATTTTCAAAAATAAAAAAAATTGTCAGAAGAATAATATTGTTTTATATTTTCCAAGTCTTTAATGACAAACTTAATAAAAGACAGCTTAATTGTTGTATCGACTTTCTCATTCAGTCTGTTGCTATATGTTGTGTTGGCTGAAGAATATGAAGACAATCCAGCGTCACATATTTAGTTGGGAAAGGGAAGAGTATTTTAATAGCCTTTGCAGATAATTTTGGATATTCTTTTTTGATTCAATTCCCAAACTCAACGTAGTTGTTTGTTAATGGATAGTTACAGTGTAGGATCTGAAACCATATCAGTGAATTCATATACTCTGTTAAAGTCTTTATCTTTCACTTTAGGTGGATCTTTTCACCCTTTCATAATTTTGAAACATCATTCATCGATCATTTGGAAAATATTGGTTCACTGAACTCTGCACATCTTCCGTATGTTACACACTTCATTACGTAATATCAAATTCATTAATATTACCACCAATGCTCATGGTAGTGGATAAAAGTTTTCCAAAATTGCTTGAAAGCTTAAATTATAACATTGGAAACAAATCCTGTCATTCGTTTTTCTTGACATGACATGCTAACTTCATTTCATTCTTAATTTTTATTTCCTTTAATTTCGAATATCAAATCTAAATAACCACAGTTTGTCAGTCTGTCTTAAAAAAAAAAAATGCTTCATGGGAAAAGTAGCTAGTTTTAACCTCACAAACCAATCACAAGTGCTTTTCCTTAAAACCATCATCATACTTCAGTATGCAGTAAAACTGCCTCATGCATATTCTCATTTTGTCACTCAGAATATTGAAGAGATATGTACTCCGTGACTTAGATTTAGTACAAGTAATTTTTCCTGCTTTATCAAAGACCTTCTTAAGTAAAACTGAGACTGCCTAGTGGTAAAGAATACACCGACTACTACTAGAGTGTGGGGTGCCTGCCACGATTACTTCTGCACCATCGGTGCAGATGTAACATAAGGAAAAAGGCAAATAATGTCTTAATATTATTATTAAAATAGATTTAACTTCTCAGACTTAGTCTTGGGGACTCCCAGGGGTCTTCAGGCCACACTTTGGGACCCAAGTCTATAAAATATTATCAAATTATTTTAAAAGAATAAGTTAGATTGGTATCTGTTGACCTAGAGGGATGTCACAATGTTATTTTGAAGTTAGAAATGCACATTGCTAGGTAATACGTATCATATGATCCCATTTTGTAAAGAAGATGATGGATAGATAAATAGACAAATAGATATGAAATATATATTTATGTGTGTAGATATATATATACAAGGTTTCCTGGTGGTACAGTGGTTAAGCGTTCAGCTACTGACCAAAAAGTCTGCAGTTCAAATCCACCAGCCACTCTTTGGAAACCCTGTGGGGCAGTTCTACCCTGTCCAATAGGGTCACTATGAGTCAGAATCAACTCAATGGCAATGGGTTTTTTGGGTTTTATATGTGTACATATATATACACATAGAGAAAAGAGAAAGATACGGAATGATGCGCATCACACTGTTAACACAGGTTACCTCAAGGCAGGGATACAGATAGTGTTCTTCATAACTCCTCGGATTGTTTCATTAATTGTAACATGTATTGAAATTAAAAATGATTAAAGTTAATACATAAAATAAAGATTTCAAAAGGACATTTATAGGAGTACAGTCCTGGTGAGCTAGTTTGAAGAGACACATCTGAAGAATGAATTAGGCCCATTACAAGGGCAAGGTAAACCAAAAACCAAACTCATTGCCTTCAAGTCGATTCCAACTCATAGCAACCCTATAGGACAGAGTAGAACTGACCTGTAGGGTTTCCAAGGAGCAGCTGGTAGATTCGTACTGCCAACGTTTTGGTTAGTAGCCATAGCTTTTAACCACTGTGCCACTAGGTCTCCTAAAGTAGATGGTAAGCCAACTTCTCTGCAGATTTAATTTCAAAGCGGGACTAAATCATAACAATAACACAGTGAGAAGTCTTGTCCCATCCAAGGCCTCCCTGCATTTTCTAACCTGCCCAGCCTCTGCTTGAGCAACTCCTCAAGAGAAGTCCCACTCTTCCATCCACACTTGAGAAGCCATTCTTCTGCGTTGATGCACAGAAAATACCTAGCAATTATTTGATTCACTTTGTTTCAAAGTAACATTTAAATCTAGTGTGACTGGACATTAATCCAGAATTTCTAACCAATATCTCACTCCATCATGTTTTGGTTATATATATGGAAAGCCCCAAATAAGCCTACCAAAGAGTTTAAAATATATTTAAGGAAGCAGAACACACAGGGTCGCCATGAGTTGAAATCAACTCCGCGGCAACTAGCAACAACAAAACACTTTTCTAGCCTTGAAACTATTTACCACTAACTCCATCAGCTTCTTCACACTGCCCTTCCCGGCTACAGCCATGCTTCCGGGAGCAGAACACTGACATGGAGTCCTATAGCCTGAGTTTGGACACAGTAACACCACTTGCTTAGCAGTGTGACTCAAGACACATTTAATTAATTCCACTGGGTCTCAGTTTCCTCATTTAAAAAATGGCAGTAAAAGTACTACTCCACCCTCATAGGCTTTCTGCAACAAATGCGTGGGGTAAAATGTTTAAATGCCCTGCACGATGCCTTGGCACAATGTACATATTAGTGCATATGTACTTGCCCAGTGCATATTAGATGGACTTCCAATACAGACTATAGTACTGATGAGAGCAGCACTTCAGATGAATAGAAACTTCTGGTGATTGTTACAACCCACTGGGCTAGCAGAGTTAGAAATTAAAACAGTTTTGTAATATCTTTGTTTTTGTCTTTTTATCAATGAAGACATCCAATTTCACGACTTTGCTATCTGGGTCTTAGTTTCTCAACCTCCAGAATGGAAAGAGAATGTCTTTTATCTCAGCAGTAGGGAGGGAAAACCAAGATGGCCTAGACTATAGAAAGGACCTTATTATACATACAGGATTGCCCTTCCGGGTTTCTGCTGTTTATGGGAATTCACTGATAAATGTATGTCTCCATCTATTGTCAAGTAGAAAGTTGAATGGTGGAACGATATCTAGAAACATTTCTCAAGCATTCTGAAGTCCTTTGAGACAATCACTTTATTTAGATTCTTATAACTGATGATGAATCAGTGTTTAAATTATTAGCAATAATACACAGTAACCCAAAAGTTAAGAGTGGATAGTTATTTCTGGGTGATTAGATACCAGTTCATGTTTATTTTCTTTTTATATGTACATATTTTTTTTAGGTTTTTGTACCATCAGCATTTTCTATCATTTACTTTTTTAAAGTGATATGCAATTAAAAAGGAAAAACCAAAGAAATCACAATGAGCTTGTCTTAGGACATTTTTATTGCAGTTTTGCACAAATCTCGGTTAACGGTAGGATATATCCCAGCATTTAAAATTCAAAGCATTAGAACTTTGGTAAAAGGAGAAAATAGACTTCATTGTGGTTTTAACCATTCATCCACAACTTTTAAAAAAATAAGCATGACCTACTCAAAAGCCATCATTTTAATGACATCGTATAACTGTGGTACCAGGCAGTGAAACACTGTGATTAAACATGTGTAAAGCTCTGCCACCCACCAGGTATTTGCTCTTGTCTTAACAAAAAGAGCTCAGATCAGCCATGCTACAGCCAGCAGTGCAGCACATAACAGAGAGGTCTCTTCTTGACTTCACTGAATGCTTCCTGGGCTCCCACACGTCTCCCCTGGGCAGCTGTCCATCCTGAGCAAGTTCCTCTACTGTGGAGTCCGGCTTCGGAAGGTTATGCACTGTGATTTCCTCAGAAACTTCATGTTCATTTGGGAGATGGAAGTAATTTCTTCTCTCAGCTGTATGGAAGAGAAAAAAAAAAAAAAAAAAGATTTTCTTAGACGGCCCTGATGAAAAGGCAGCAACAAAGTTCTACTCTTGAGGAAATAAGCTGGATTTCTGGAAGGAAATTGAATTCTGCACATAATTTTTCTAAAGTGTTCATTTGGCTTAACAGAAATGAGATGTTTAGTGGAGTGCCCAGTTATCTCCACTCTCCTCATCTCACAGATGAGAGAACTTGAGTGCAGAGAGAGGAGCATCATGCAGCCAGTCAGCAGCCAAGTGAAGGCTTGAATTCTGTTTTACTGGCTATCTGCTCAATGACCAACAGCTCCCAAGGGTGTTAGTCGTGCTAGAAACAAAAAACACACAAACAAAAAACAACTGCGTATATTCCCTGTCAGGCTGATCAGTGAGGGGAGAAAAGGTCCCTGAGCGGCACAAACAGTTAAGCACTCAACAGCTAACCAGAAGGTTAGTGGTTACAACCCACCCAGAGGTGCTTTGGAAGAAAGGCCTGGCAATCTGCTTCTAAAAGGTCATAGCCTTAAAAACCCTATGGAGCAGTTCTACTCGGCTCACTTAGGGTCCCCCGCCGCGAGCTTCAATTGACTTCACAACTAGCAACTAACAACAAGAAGGAACAAAATGGACATTTATGCCTCTGGGCCTTGGTGGTACAGTGATTAAGTGCTTAGCTGCTGACAGGTTGACGGTTTAAACCCACCAGCTGCTCCATGGGAGAAAGATGTGGCAGTCTGCTTCTATAAAGATTACAGCCTTGAAAGCCCTATGGGGAAGTTCAACTTGTTCTATAGGGTCACTATAGGTTGGAATCGACTCGACAGCAATGGGTTTGGTTTTTAGGGTTTTCTAGCTGAAAATAAAAGGTGGGCCACACTGTAATTTTATTCAAGTGTTGTTATCAAAGTCTGAGTAGAAGCCTCTCTCCCTGTAATTTAGTTCAGATTAACTTATCAGTACCTTAGGACACTGGCAAGTACCAAGAAAAATTAGATGAATGAATGCTGATTGGTAAATCAGTAACTGATCCAGTAAAATAATGCATGGGAAACACTCTGGAACCCCGTGAAAGGCTAAGTAAACAGTATTATCATTTTCATGGTATATGCGGACATCCATTCCACTCTACTGTGTGTTTCAGAGCTCTTCCAAATGTATTATTTCCTATTGCATTTTGGTTTGCTAATTCAAAGATTGATATAAATCCTGAAAGTTTGCACTTATTTGCCTAAGATTAAACACGGTTATTCATTCTGTCACCATCTTGTAACTATGAACCTCTCAATATTAAAAAGATAATGGTAATTTTTTTCTCTTTTTAAAGCACAGAGTAAGTTCATAAGTTTTCCAAAGACATTAGCCCATCAAACTATGAGCACTGTGGCTCATTCTCTAAAATATTTTTGTTTCCCAGGCACTTTAAACCAAACTGAAACCTTTGTAATCATATGTATGGTTTAAATACTTATTATGAAAACACATGTTTTTACTTTTTATTGAAAACATAACAAATGCAGTTGTTTTTGTCATTAAAATAAAATCTTAAATAAAGTTTACCTCACACTTTAATACAGAATTAGCAGAAAGAATTTCAAGCTAACTTCTAAGTTATTTGAATTAAAAAACAAATGACTGTAATGAAGTCAGTCCCTCACTCTTTCTGAAATGCATTAGGTTCAGTCCCACCTTCAAATTCTGATCAGATAATTCCCATTGCTAGAATTCCCACCCCACTTCACCCTCATTCCTCATAATCCTCAAATGCTACACATCCTTCAGGGCCTCTTTCAAATACCACCACCTCCATGATGCTATCATCTATTACCACAGCCCACCACCTCCTCTTCCTCACCTCAGAAGCAGTATGGAATAAGTGAAAGACCCCCCTGCTCTTGAAGCCACACACACCTGATTCATCTCCTAGCCACACTGCTTAACAGCTGAACGAACATCTTTTTTCTCAGTCTAATGGGCAAAACCAAAAATCAAACCACTTGCAATTGAGTTGATTCCAATTCTTGGCAACCTCATGTGTTTCAGAGTAGAGCTGCAGATAGGGCTTTCAATGGCTGTGATCTTTTGGAAGTAAATCACCAGGCCTTTCTTCCGAGGTACCTCTGGGTAGACTGGAACCACCAACCTTTTGGTTAGTAGCTCAGTGCTCAACTGTTTGCACCACCCAGGAGCTGTTGTCTATTGGTAAATGGTGGTAATATCACTTACTTTACAGTATCCTGATTGGCAGGCCGAATGAAATATTGCACATGAAACTGCTGGCACTTAATAAATGCACAATAAATATTAGATTCCATATTTTCTATCCTTATTTGACACCTGCTTTAATTCCATCTTATTATGTTCTGTATTATCCAAGTGTGAAAATCTTGCTAATCCAACCAGCCCCTTGAAATCACATGCTGTCTCTATCCCCTACTACACCTGACAGAGATGTTGAGCTCATCTGAATAGTTATGCAATCAAATGATTTCAAGAAGGCTAAATAAAACAAGGTCCTTATTATTTGCATGTAGTTAGCTCACGTCTTTTCCTAGCCAAATTCAAGTTTGTTTGTTTTTTTTTCATAATTTGCTAAATTGATATAGAAATGGGTTAGCAGTACTTAGGGAAACAGTTACTAAAACAAACCTAAACACTTAAAAATAAGGAGTGCTCCATTAAAAAACCATCTATATGAGACCAAAAGGTCAACAATTACTTTAAAGCAAAGATGACAAGATAAGGGGGCAGGGAAACTAGAGTACTGGAAACAGAACAACCAGATTGCAATTAAAGAGAATGTTGGCACATTGAGAGAAATGTAACTAATGTCACTGAACAATCTGTGCAGAAATTGTCAAATGGGAACCTAATTTGATGTGTAAACTTTCACCAAAATCACACATTGAAATATTATTTAAAAATCAAAAAAAAAAAAAGGAAACAGGGGGCTTCATGTTACCTTGCTGAACTGGAAGGCTCCCCTCCAGATGCCGTCTCCACCTAGAGGCACCACAGATATAGATGATTGCTCTGATGAAGTCTTTCCCGCAGAGCTTCAGCGAACCCTCACTCTTCACTTCTGAGATGGCGAGTAGGAAAGAGAGTAGAAATAAAGTGAAAATTGAGCCCTTCATTTTGCTGAGGATCAAATGAGGATCTGATATGGTAAGTATTGCCAAATCAAGTTCTGAAGTTACTCTCAAGCTCTTGTCCAATTTATACTAATTTTCCTGGCATTTTATTGGCCAGAACCTCATTTTAACAATATTTGCTAACCACATATGTTACACTGTGAAATTTTGATAGTGCACTTTTATGATTATGGCTAGTTATTCAGTCACTTCTGAACACCATCAATTGCCTTTAGCCGTCCCTGAAACAATAAAGAGAAGACAGTCCTGGAAGGGAGGAGAGCATCATGGAAACCACGTGGACTTTGGAGGCGCCAAGTAGACGCTCCAATCTCAAATTTGTCACTTGCTGAGAAACACAGGACAAATTTTAAATTCTTTGACTCTTAATAGTCACATCTCTAGAATTGGGAAACCTTTGTCATATGGGTTTTGTGAATATCAAAAGCAACATCTTATGTCAAAGCAATAGGAAGTCACTTAAGAATGTAAGTTCTCATGTCAAAATTTGAGTTCTGACTTCCCACTTACCAGATCTAGAATCTTAAGCAAGTACTTCACCTCCCCAAGCTTCCTTCTATGTAAAATTGTGCTAATTATAATAACCACCTCATAGAGCTAATGTCCTGCTTTATACAATCAACAGTCAATAATTGTTGGCTGCCTTCTTCCCATGTCATTGGCACGGACTTAAAAAGATAACTGTCCTTCATAAGTCAGAATTTCTCCCATTGGGATCTTAACCTTGTTATCCTTTACCCTGTGGCTCATCAGCACACATTTTTATAACAGAAATGTTTTATAACAGAACTTTCATCCATAATCCCAAACAGCAGATAATGAAATTTGTCTTATGGTAAACCATCTGAAATCACTCATTTTTGCAAAACAAAGAATGCTAGAGTTTGAGATCTTAAAGATAGTATTGTTGACTCACCTTTTAACCAACTGAAGAGATAACTATTTAGTTGATTCTGCTGAATCCAAAGGAGCAGGAATGTTCTGAGGTCAGATGAAGCTACTCCATCTTTTGATGGGTCAGAATTGCAGATGAATCTATTTAACAACTCAAGAGGGATATCTGCATGACCAAGCCTAGCACACCCACAAAATCAACAATTATTCAATCATTTATTACAACATTCTTCCCTTCTTTGGAGACTTCTACTGCCCATCATAATACTGCCACTGCAAAAAAAAAAAAGTTGCTGGCAGGTCAGCTCCGACTCATGATGACCCCTTGTGTGTCACAGTAGAGCTGTGCTCCATAGGGTTTCAATGGCTGATTTTTCAGAAGTAGATCACCAGGCCTTTCTTCTAACATGCCTCTGGGTGGACTTGAACTTCCAACACTTCAGTTAACAACCACGTGCTTAATTTGTTTGCACCACTGCCTTAAGACCACAATCAGTGGCTATGGGCATTCTGCATAAACCAAGAATGAATTATTAACCCAAGGCATGATGCCTACCCTGAATGTCAGATACACTCTGCTACCTCTGAATCTGCTACCAACCCATTGATCCTCCTGGCTTTGAAATAGTCCCCTCTTCATAATTATTTTATGATAATGATTATGAGATCACTGTATGTAAATTAACAAACACTAATTTATTTTTATTATTTTGTAGCATAAAGTTAGTGCCTGCTCATCCTTGACTAATCACACTTAATGCTTCTGAAGGGAGTTCCCATTATGTGGCACCACTTTTATCCAGCTCTTTCTGAGACTCATTCATAACTCCTCATTCTCCCTCAGTCTCCACTGACGAACACCTCCTTCATCACATACATTCATTAAATCACCAATCCCATTGGTTCTGCTTTCTAAATTTCTCTAAGATCCATCCACTGCTTTCTATACCCTCTAACTTCAACTTCTTTGGGAATACTGCAATGACCTCTCAGCTTGCCCTATTTCTCTTTCACCAATCCATTCTCCACACTGCTGGCAGAATGATCTAATACACATGATTATTTTATTACCCACCTTTAAAGCCTTTCAGTGGTTTCCCACTTCCCTCAAGAGAAAGTCCAAATTCCGTTAACATGGCCTGCAAGAATTTGCATGATCTGGTTCTGCCTATTTGTTCAGAGCTGGCTGTTTTAGAGACCCTTGAACTCTAGATGGTCGAGCTATACCAAATACCTTCAGTTTTTTGAAATTCTATGTTCTCTATCTATCCTACACTTTCCACATGCTGTTTCCTTCACCTATAATTCCTTTTACTCCCTAGTTTGAATCTGGTTAACTTCTACTCTACAAATATCTGTAGAATGGATATTGAAATACATTGCTATAGATAAATTTTGCATAATTTTGTGGATAAAACTTTCTTCTCATTTTAGCATTTTTAAGTATATCTCAGTAAGAACAAAAATGAGCAACTAAAAATAACTTTAAAATATCTTATAATAACTTATTTTTCTATATATTTTTTGTTATCTTGAGCTTTTAGAAATTGATAATAACTCAATAGATAACTGAAATATATATAATAATTTGAAAATTTCAATAAAATTATTATCAGTGAGTTCTAAAGTATGACCCCAAAACATCCTGGGATCCTTTGTTCTTCCTGATACGATAGCACCATAAAACCTATTGCTGTGGAGTCAATTCCAACTCATAATTCATTCAGAGTAGAACTGCCCCATAGGGTTTCCAAGGAGCGGCTGGTGGATTCAAACTGCCGACCTTTTGGTTAGCAGCCATAGCTCTTAACCACTGTGCCACCAGGGCTCCAATAGCACCATATCTTCTCTTAATAGTTGACTTATTCAAAGAAAATACAGATATGGTGAAAGTACATTTCTCATGAGTTGTCCTGAATGCTACATAAATATCTCATCAATTTAGAAAAAGCAGTGCTCATTTTTATGAGATTTGTAATGATGTTTTATATGTTCCAACTTAATGGACATGTTCTGCTTTCTATTTAACCCAGGAACTGATTTCATGTAAACTGTCAGCCTTTTAGTTTTATCACCAACTGAGTATGCCAACCTAAGGAAAAGAAGGCTAATGGCCTAGTAAATGTTCTTTAGACTTGAGGGTGGATTTGAACATTGTACAAAATCCTGAACAAACAGGACTCATAGCCTAAATGTTGTATAAAGGAACAAATGAGATCATCAGCACAGTTTGTGTCTCCCCCAGGAGACAGTAGGGCCTTGGCAAGGACCTAGCCAGCTGCAAAGGGCAAAAAGTTTCTCACACCAGGAAGTGGGGATGTGGCTCTGGGATAATCAGAATGATAGGTATTATTTTTGAGCACCTACTCTGTGCCAGGCATTTTTCTAGATGTTTTACGTTGGATGTAATTTGTGCCCCAAATGACCAGCAGGAACACAATCTCACCAAGTAGCAGCAACACTCACAAAAAAAAATGATTATACATTTGTTTTTTAGCTTTTATCTTAAGGGTAAAATTGATTTTATATTGTTAAAGAACAAATAAAGCCATAGTCTGTGTTTAACAATTTTCAAGGCTGATTTTATGTTCTATATGGTCTCTACAGTTAAATAAAATATTTTATCCTATGTGATATTATGATGTACTGTTAAGATATTCAGGAAATCACATTTGAAACATTAGATTATGTTCTGATATGGGGCAAGCATGAAGCCATCATTTCCCTCCATTAATTTTATAATTCATTCATTCAATAAATATTTGCTGAGTTCCTATTTTGTGGCTGATACTGTTCTAGGTGCTGGAAATACACAGACACGAGCAAAACTCCCATAGTTCTTCTCTTCCAGCAGCTTACAGTCTAGAGTGGGAGGCAGACATTAAACAAATGATTACACAAACAAATATTTAGCATGGCAAGTATGAATCTTAGTTTAGAAACTCAGGAATCCAAAAAATATAACTATATTTTCTGTAACTCAATTTAATTTCTGACTACAGGGGTCTATTCCATCCAGCTGGAAAAGAAATGCAGAAAGTTAAAGTCAGTCCTTTCCAGAGTTTTTTCCTTCCTTTTCCCCAGGATTATGACATAGTTCTATCATCTACTGTGTATCAAGGCCCTTCTGTCATCAAAGAGTTTCTGCTTGCTGAATCATTAGTTATCCTCATCTATCCGGCTTCTTCAGTTCCAGTGGTTGTTTACTGCTTTTTTTGCATGTCTCATTGCATGGGAATGTTTTTTTCTAGTTGACTGTGTTCTATCCTAAGTCTTAGCACTTCCTGGGACATTGCTGTTTAGAAGCAGAACATGCGTCCCCTCTGCTCTGTGGATCCACAAGCTTCTCTGTTTCCCTCATTCGCCACGGCCCTCCAGTCCCAAGGAAATTTCACATTTCCCTTTATGTTTCTTTAAGACACTTGGTCTATGCCCCAGATTCTTTTCCCCAGGATCTGTGCTTTTATAAAGCAAAAATGGACTTCTTTGATTTATTGTCATGCTACATTCCTCCCTGAACTTATAAGCACAGAGCTACCAATTTGAGTATATTCTTAAATCTTGAGTTAGCTACCAAACCCCGTTGCCATTGAGTCAATTCCAACGCATACAAGCCACAAGTATTTCAAAATTCAAACTTCTGGCTTTTCTTGAAAAATCACAATAATTGGCCCTCAAGACAACAGTATGCTGAAGTTGAGTACCAGTGGTCAACATGTACTCTCTACTCCCCCACAATGTACCTTGGAAAAGGATGGTACTGTTGATGCTAAGAAGTGGAGGAGTTTGATTTAAGTAAGAAAGATAGTAAGTGTTAAGTGAAGATAGTTTTCCAGGTGGAAATGTCCACTAGGCAACTGGAGATAGGAGACTAAAATTCAGAAGAGTGGGCATAAATAGAATTACCAATTAGAATCATAAGATAGAGGCAAGAGATGAAAGCAGGAAAATGGGTGATCCCTGTTAAGCATGCTTCTTGACTGAGTTAATGCCAGATATCATGGAAGACAATAGGAGGTCCTGAACTTTGAGAAGGTTCCTAGCCATTCTGGGACCATGAAAATCTCTTCACCTCTCTCTAGATCTTAGAGTAGGACTCTCTTGTACTAAGTGCTTATCCAATTTTATATTAATTAACTCTACACATAAATGCTGCTACTGCTTATTATAAGTAGCTTATCATCATCAGTTCCCAAACCCAAACACGTAAAATACAACCCTATCAATGTCCTGGAATGGCCTTCTAACGTCCCTGTTTCAAGACCAGCTTCAGGTCCATTTCCCCTATATGGCCTTCCCCCAAAGGACTCAGCTTTTGTGGTTCATGCTTCCCACTGATAAGCGTAGCACATGTGATATGAAGCATCATATGACATGTAGCAAACTACTCTTACAAATACCTCTCATGTATACTTTCTATCCAAATTTGTCATTTCAAGGACAGAAACCATACTTTTTCTTCTCTTGGTGTACCCAGCACAATACCTTATATTCAGTGGGTGCCAATAAAAGTTAATTGACAAAAAGAATAAAAACCATTATTTATTTAGTGCGTACTGTCTACCAGGCACTGTTCTAAGCATTCTGCATTATTTTTAGATATGTAGAGATAGAAAGTTGCATCTATTTTTCAAATATGCTGTAGGGAAGAGACCTATGCATGACACCAGAGTCTTTGTCCTAAATTTCTTTGCTCTGTCATACCGTCTAAAACAATGATTCAACATTTATTGACAGCACATTTGTACAAATATCTGTTACATTGCCTAGCTAATTGTAGATAATATTTACTAAGTAATTTAATAATACAAAGCACTGGACTAGGAGTTATAGGTGTATGGAAGCAAGGCCCACTTTCAAAGAACTTAAACTATCCTAAAGGAATCTTGGGTGACCAGCTAAATTCAACTGAAAGCAGACTGAAGAAAGTACTTAAGAGAGGTGTAAGCAATAGCCTATGAGAATCCAGAGAAAAAAGCAATTAATTTTTTTGTTTGTAAGTAGATGTGTAATTGACACTTAAATGACTTGATATATAAAACCCATTTCTGTCAAGTCAATTCTGACTCATAGCGACCCTATAGGACAAAGTAGATCTGTCCCATAGGATTTCCAAGCAGTGGCTGGTGAATTTGAACTGCCAATCTTTTGGCTAGCAGCTGAGCTCTTAACCACTGCACCTCTGGGACTCCCCATTTAATACATATCACTTTTAAAAGGGACAATAGTATTCTTCGCTATGCTTTAAATTTTTCAATTTGGTTTGGCTCTGTCGAAAATGCATGTTTCACGGGAAAAAAAATAATAGCTGGTGAATAAAGCCAGATGACATTTTGAAATTACAGAGAACTTCAAACTATTTTTGTGCCATTAAAAAACAAAGGTGAAATTACCTATAAAATTATTTCAACCTTAGAAGTTACATGCTGGAGTGAAAAGATCTGGCCTATGATAAGTGATAAAATATTGCTTATAATTTAAGGAGACATGTAACTGTTATAGTTCCCTGTTTTCCCAGAATACTGACCTAAAAGTTTGTTTCAGTGGATACCCAGAGTCCTTTTCTCTCACCTCTTTATTACATACCACGAGGATCTCCATTCTAATTACTCCATATCTCTCCTTATGACTTCTCTCCATTTTTCCTTTGAAGTTGTACATAATCTGATATTTCAATAGTCTCAGATCTTTGTTATGGCATTGACTTATATTCTCTTTGCTTCTTTACCAAATGTTTTCTAAGGCTTACAGATAAAACCTTAATTATAGAAGAATATACACACTTGTGTTTTGGTGTACGAGATCCTCAGCAATCTACATAGAGCATTATCATTTACTGTGCAATAATGGAAAATGTGTAAGAACTGTTCAAAGCTTTGGACTTGAGTTCAAGCTTGGCCAGCTACCAGCTGTATGATCTTGGGAAAGTTATGTCATTTCTTTCAGCTTTAATTATATCATCTGGAAAATAGAGATTATGATAATATTACAACTACTTGCCCCACCTGTATCATAGGATTGTTGTGAGAATACACTGATAGTATAGACATGAAAGTGGTTTGTAAACTGTAAAGAACTTTAACGTGTATACTATTATATAGTTTATTATATATAATTGATAACTATATAGTTGATAACTATATCTATTCACAGCATGATTAACGTATTTTTAGAGAGACTTTCACTGAGACAAAATGGCAAATACTGATTTCTACTTCTTATTTATAATTATATGTAACCACACAGAGGTTAACCAAATGAACACACTAAAAATGATGTACAATTATATAATCATCAATACAATCATCCTTCCATATTGCAGCTGAGAGAGCAGCTAACAATTTACAGCCGTAATGTAAGTTCTATATGAGAGATGCCTGGTACAGGATGACTGAATGAAGTAATGAATACCTAGCAAAAAAATAGGAACCTAAAGTTAGTCCAGTCACCACTCTCTTCTTAGGTCTTTTTTTTAAAAAAAAAAAAAACAATAAAATAAGATGGCTTATGACTGAGCAGAATTCTCATTCAATTGTTAAAAATGTAGGGTAAATACAGTTTACCAGTAATACTCCAAAGCCAGCCTAGAAAGCAAGCAAAGCATTTCCTTCTGAAACTCCCAGGTAAAAGATCTTAAAGTAAAACTTTTGGTGCTAATGTAAGAGTATAAGAGTCATTTAAGCCAGATCAGCGGTGAGAAGGGTGGAATAGAATAGGTTCAGTTGCTTTAGGATCAGTTGCCCAGGATTCAAGAAGAATAGCTTTATTTCCTCTTTAGGCTTGATGACCAATGAGAGTAGAGTATGTGAAATTTTTTTTCAAATCAAAAATAAATAGTAAAAAGAAACATTTTTTTCATTTAAATCGGGTTTTTATTTTGTTATACAAAGTGTTGTGGACAGTTCAATCTTTCAGAAAGACAAAGAGAAGAATCACAATGACTTATACAAGTATAAAATTTATAGTTCTTATAATCTGACTTGAAATCTCAATTCACCTGAAAATTAGCTTGCTTTTGTTTAAAGAATGGCTCTAAAGGAATGGAGATTGTGAAACAATGGATACTTGTCAAAGGTAGTTCCCACTGTTGCACTGATTCCATTTTCAGTTTAAATATATATATATAAAAGATATATATATATATATGAGTTTAGTGAGTTTTAAATGACCTATTCTGTCCTATCCACTTAGAATGCTTTACAGAATAGGACTTAATGTCTTACGGTCTCATTTAACAAATCCAGAACTTGTTAAAACAAACAACTTGGAATAGATTGTTGGAATTCTGTCTTTGGAGGAGCTGCTGCCCCCCACTCCTCCTGCTTCCATAAGCTTGCTTTAGAAACGTTCATAAAATAGCATCCTGATGTTGTCTATAGATCAGGGACTTTGTATTTTCTCTCTGGACCCACTTAAGTCTGGGCTTAAAATCCAGAGTACATCTGGGCATGCACAGGAGGGTATCCTGATGCATACCAGACTAGTCTTCTCACTGAATTAGGAGTGTGACGCCTGCTGGCCATACACAATGCAATTCTGACATTTGCCGCCATGGTGTTTGCAGTCAAATAATCTAACAAAGTTCCACAGCTTCAGCTCTCAGATCTAATAGGATAAAATTCTGATTCAAAGTTGGGTATGAGAATCCAATATTCTCACTATATTAGCAACAGCATAATTTATAAACTCTGTTGGAAAGCAGAAGATTTAAGTCTATGGAAACTTGCCTTATAAAGCTTTTGGTTTAAGTTGTTCTAATAATTTCCAAGTTTTGCTTCTCAGGGTATAATAATTTTCTAATCTATGTGGACATTTTATAAGTAAATATATATTGTAATATGTCCATGAATTAGAGTAGGAATATCTTTAGAAAAAGTAAGACAATTCTAACAAAACACTTACGATTAGTATAGATCACAAACTAACCTTACATTTCTGAAATCATGGCTCATTCAACTTATATTAAATTTAAATGGAAAATGTACAACAAATATTGTTTTCTAAAATAAAAATCCCAGCTTGCAGACTCTATTGAGTATTAAATACTGTTCTCTTTTCTTTAAACAACAACAAAAAATTAGTAATGATGAATTATCCTGAGTGATTTGAGTTGGGTCCAAGCAACGTATATATTACATCTTCCTGAAAAGAAAAGAAAAAAAAAAAGTCATTCAATTACAAAGCAATAAAATACAAATTACGGAATAAAGTAGTCTTTAAAATGCCATTTAAAAATTATAAGTTAGTGATACACATATAAAGAGCACTCAATAAGACTGAAAAAAGGAAACAAACCAATATAAGTTTAAACAGTAATGGTTACTTCCTCGTATAAACCCGCTCTTTCCTATAAAAGACTTTTTTAATGAAGTTTGATAAATAACTTTATATGGCCTCAGTAAGGGGAAAGTCTCTGTTGACAGTTTTCGCAGTTCCTATTTAACCTTAATGTTTAAACCTCAGTTTTTTCATCTGTAAAGTAACTGTTAAACTTAAGGATATCTTAAGTTCTTTCCCGATGTTAGACTGGATTTAGAGAGAGGAGAACTTTTCCATTTCTATGTAGTTTTTGTATTTTCATTTAGTCATAATGATTCTTCATACTAAAAGGGGTAAAATGATTATATATAAGAAGATGAAAACCAAAAATGGGAGATGAGTTTGTAAGAAAGGTAGTAGAGAATGGGGAAAGATTGGAATTGGAAGCAGAGGACTAGAGTTTTCTCTGACTACGTGATCTTCAGAAAATCACTGAACCTCTGGGAGTCTTAGTTTCCTCAACTGTACAATAGGAACATTAACATCCACTTCTAAAGATTGTTATGAGAGTTTAGTGAGTTAATGTATGTGAAGGTGATTTATAAACTCAAAAGAGTTACAGAACATGTAAGATAATATTACCTGAGTTCCAGACTTTCAGCCTATACTATACAGTTTTTGACACCTCTCCATTCTTCAAGCCGTGACACACCAAATCAGTTGCCAAGTCCTGTAAATTCTAACCTTAATATGTTTCTCAAATCCATCTCTTTCTAGTTCAGACTCACACTTGAACAACTGTATAGCTCACTACTGTAATTTGTTCACTGTTTTATTCTTAGTGCCTAAAGCAATCTCTGGCACATGGCGCGTGCTCAGTGAATATTTGTTGAATGGTCTAACTATTTCTTCTGCCTTCAGTGTCTCTTAGCATTAATTTATCATATATATTGCAGATTTATGTTTCTACAACCCCATTTTGAATATTTCACTTATCTTTTTATTTGGGAAAGAAACAAAAATACCAAAAGCACAGATAAAAATATGACAAACAATTGCATACTAAAACATACAGTAAAAATAGTATCCAGGAGTCATTCTCTATAGGCTTCCTCCCAGAAAAGAAGTTGCTTCCTGCAGTGCCCCACTGAAACTGGCTTCTGCCAAGTGGCTAAAGCATAATTCCATTCAATGCAAGACTTAGACTCCCAGCAACCAATCCTCATCATGCCAGGAGAGGAGCTGGTGCTTCCTCAACCACGAATGCTAACGCGGTGATAAATCCTGTCTCTAGCTAGCTACATCATAAAGTTATAAATGGAAGGCTTGGAGCCCAGCCCCCTGCTTATATATTACCCCTAATCATGAACAATGAACTGGTAGGATAGGGCTGGAGCCAACATTCTGCCATGTCATATTACGATAGTATTTTGGTTCTTGATCACATCAAGGAGGGGCCAGAGTTTCAGAAATTATGTCACTTAAAAGCTCCACAGCCCAAGGATCAAAGTTCTTCTCCTGACAGACTACCACGTACTTCCACAGAGGGTGATGGACAATGTGGAGGGGAAGGTAGTGGTCACGGTCGATGATCTGTTACTGATCCTGACTCTGTGGGTTTTCTCCAATGAACCTTGCTCCAGCAAAACAGGTGTGTGTGCCATCTGATACTTTGCCTTTGTTTGTAAAACACATATCCACCCCAAATCTAAAAATGTCATTTTTGCCTTGAATATTTTTTAGTAAAAGAAATAAAACCTTACTGAATTTCCCTTTGTACCCCTTCCTCCATCCTGTTATTCCCTCATCCCTCACTTCCCAGAGGCAGCCTTTATCATAAATTTGTTATACATCTTTTCTATATAATGAAAGCTTAAGTTTTCTAAAATTGTGATTTACCCTTGGTTAAAATTGATGGAGAAATTATAAATCATAATGTTACTTGGTAAGCTATCTTGGTAAGAAATACTGTTTTGACATTAGTTACTTTGAGACTTCAAATTATAATTATGATTATAATTCTTCTCGGAAAAGCTAAGGAGGAGAAAGTGTATCCATTAAGCTTGTTTTTGGCTGTAAGGAACATAAAACCTGATTAATAGTTTTCTGTTTAATCTCCCAAAAATATAACACTTAACCTTTAAAATATAATGACCAAAAAGTGTGTAAAGCATATCTGTATTTGGAAAATGTACAGAATACATTTGTTAAAAGAAATTGAATTTTTCTCACCATCCTTGAAATAATTCTCACACACACACACATTTGCCAAAAAATTTCAGACTCTCTGAGCTTAGCTTTCTCGTTGCAGAGTATACTGCTTATAATAAATGATATCCATAAAAAACCAAACCAAACCCATTGCCGTCCAGTAGATTCTGACTCATAGTGACCATATAGGACAGAGTAGAACTTCCCCATAGGGTTTCCAAGGAGCATCTGGTGGATTCGAACTGCCAACCTTTTGGTTAGCAGCTGTAGCTCTTAATCACCAGGGTTTCTAAATGATATCTATAGTAGATTTAAATCCAAACACAAAATAAAACATTTTTCTTCTACATTCCAGTATATATATTTTATACTTTTACTAACTATATATGTGTCCACTAAACTGTATGTGTCCACTAAGGACACTATTTTGATATTTAGATTTTTTGTGTTTAAATAATGTTTTATAATATGAATAACAATGTTTATTACATAAATTGTAGCATATTGTACTTACCTTCCTGCAATTTGCTTTTTTTCACTCAACACTGTGATTTTTAGATTTATTCAAAAGTTTCCATATTGACACATTAAAATATATCATTTAAACTTCTGCATTGTAGTCACTGATGTGAATATGCCATATTTTATTCATCTAATCATCTACTGATGATCATTTAGGTTGTTCCCAATTTATAAATATACAAATAAAGCAACTACAAATATTCTTTTCTCACTGGTATGCCTTTTGGACCACTACTAATGAGTTACGCAAAGCCCTGGGGAAAATATAGAATCCAACTGGATATCATTTTTTAACATCGCTAAGTGTTGTCGCCCTACCAGAGAGGAAGACTATGGAATAATTTAGAATTTAATGACATAATAAATAAGTGAGTTAAAGTCAATCAAGTGATACAGCAACAAGGGCAAGGTTGCAAACTTCCATGAAAAGACCTAAGATTTAGGTAATATGTAACTAAAATTTAGGAGACCTGGGCTAGGAGACTACTCCATTTGGAGGGCATTGACAAATTAATTGAAAAACAGGGCTCAACCTGGAAGCTAAGGCAGTTAGAAAAATGCCCCTAAATGCCTGCAGTTGTAGATCTCATTCTCTGGCTGAAATTTCAGGTCAATATTTATCTCATTCATTTGTTTCTTTATTAGGAAAATATATGTTTACTCTAAAAAGAATAAGCATGTGTACAGACGATGCAGCAAATTAAACCAATAATTATTTGTTTTATGTTGAGGAATTCGTACATATTTGCCATCTGAAACATTCATTATATATAAAATAATTTGCCTATTAGAATGTCTAACAAATATCATTGTGATTCTAATTTAATTACATAGTTGGGCAATTGATTTCGACTTCTGAATATAGGTTGAAATCTTACAAATTTACAAACAGTATTAGAACTTCCATGTGGGAGACCCGGGTGCAATTCCCAGCCAATGCACCTCAAGCACAGCCACCACTTGTCTGTCAGTGGAGCTTGCATGTTGCCGTGATGCTGAACACATTCAGTGACATTATTATTCTCATTTTACACATAAAGAAAATGAGGTTCAAAGAAAATAAGCAACTTGCCTGAAATACTATGCCTAGTAAGTAACAACTCTTGAGACTTAAGTTTTTTCCATTGTATCACACTTAAGATATTTAATAAGTGTAAACCCTTTGCATACCACAAAACTGCAACTGACTAGACTCATAAAATGGCATAAAAACTTAACTTTTGAGTCTTACCCGTCCAGATTCTATGGCAGTGGGCATATTCCTCAGTTCATATACAGAGACCTGTCCATCACTGTCTCCCACCAGGAGGCAATCTGTTTGTTTGGCGAAGAGAACAGTTGTGAACTTGATTCCAGGGTTAGCAACATTCACAATCAGAGGGTCCAAACTGTAATGAAATATTTTATTTGTAAATTCAGATGTTACTAATATGTTGTTATTAATAAATAGAGTAAGAAAAGTTTCCCCCGCATGTCTGTCAGTCTGTGGTACTGGGGGGCTTGAGTGTTTCTGTGATGCTAGAAGCTATGTCACCAGTATTCAGAAACCAGCAGGGTCACCCATGGCAGTCAAGTTTCAGCTGAGCTTCCAGACTAAGTATTAAGACACACTAGGAAGAAGGACCCGGCAGTCTACTTCTGAAAAGAATTAGCCAGTGAAAACCTTCTGAATAACAGCGGAACATTGTCTGATATAGTGTCAGAAGATGAGCCCCCCAGGTTGGAAGGTTCTCAAAAGATAACTGGGGAAGAGCTGCCTCCTCAAAGTAGAGTCAACCTTAATGATTTGGATGGAGTCAAGCTTTCGGGACCTTCATTTTCTGATGTGGCATGACTCAAAATGACAAGAAACAGCTGCAAACATTCATTAATAATTAGAACATGGAATGTACAAAGCATGAATCTAGGAAAATTGGAAATCATCAAAAAATGAAATGGAATGCATAAACATCAATATCCTAGGCATTAGTGAGCTGAAATGGACTGGTTTCAGCCATTCTGAATTGGACAGTCATATGGTCTACTATGCCAGGAATGACAACTTGAAGAGGAATGGCATTGCACTCATCATCAAAAAGAACATTTCAAGATCTATCCTGAAGTACAACGCTGTCAGTGATAGGATAACATCCATACACCTACAAGGAAAACCAGTTAATATGACTATTATTCAAATTTATGCACCAACCACTAAGGCCAAAGATGAAGAAACTGAAGATTTTTACCAGCTTCTGCAGTCTGAAAGTGATCAAACATGCAATCAGGATGCATTGATAATTACTGGTGATTGGAATGCAAAAGTTGGAAACAAGGAAGGATCAGTAGTTGGAAAATATGGCCTTGGTGATAGAAATGATGCTGGAGATTCCACGATAGAATTTTGCAAGACCAATGACTTCTTTATTGCAAATACCTTTCTTCACCAATGTAAATGGCAACTACACGCATGGACCTCGCCAGATGGAATACACAGGAATCAAATGGACTACATCTGTGGAAACAGACAATGGAAAAGCTCAATAAAATCAGTCAGAACAAGGGCAGGGGCCAACTGCAGAACAGACCAGCAATTGCTCATATGCAAGTTCAAGTTGAAACTGAAGAAAATTAGAACAAGTCCACGAGAGCCAAAGTATGACCTTGAGTATATCCCATCTGAATTTTGAGATCATCTCAAGAATAGATTTGATGCACTGAACACTAGTGACCGAAGGCCAGACAAGTTGTGGAATGACATTAAGGACATCATACATGAAGAAAGCAAGAGGTCATTAAAAAGACAGGAAAAAAAGAAAAGACCAAAATGGATGCCAGAAGAGACTCTGAAACTTGCTCTTGAATGTCGAGTACCTAAAGCAAAAGGAAGAAATGATGAAGTAAAAGAGCTGAACAGATTTCAATAGGTGGATTGAGAAGACAAAGTAAAATATTATAATGACACTTGCAAAGAGCTGGAGATAGCAAACCAAAAGGGAAGAACATGCTCGGCATTTCTCAAGCTGAAAAACCTGAAGAAAAAAATTCAAGCCTCGAGTTGCAATAGTGAATGATTCTATGGGGAAAATATTAAACGACACAGTAAGCATCAAAAGAAGATGGAAGGAATACACAGTCATTATACCAAAAAGAATTGATCAACATTCAACCATTTCAGGGGGTAGCATATGATCAGGAACCAATGGTACTGAAGGAAGAAGTCCAAGCTGCACTATAGTCATTGGTGAAAAACAAGGCTCCAGGAATTCATGGAATATCAATTGAGATGTTTCCAGCAGTGCTGGAAGTGTTCACTCGTCTATGCCAAGAAGTTTGGAAGACAGCTACCTGGTCAACCGACTGAAAGAGATCCATATTTATGCCTATTCCAAAGAAAGGTGATCCAATCAAATGCGGAAATTATTGAACAGTATCATTAATATCATACACAAGTAAAATTTTGCTGAAGATCATTCAAAAGCAGCTGCAGCAGTATATCAACAGGGAACTGTCAGAAATTCAGGCCAGATTCAGAAGACGACGTGGAACCAGGGATATCATTGCTGATGTCAGATGGATCCTGGCTGAATGCAGAGAATAGCAGAAAGATGTTTACCTGTGTTTTATTGACAGTGCAAACGCATTTGACTGTGTGGATCATAACAAATTATGGATAACATCTTGAAGAATGGGAATTCCAGAACACTTAATTGTGCTCATGGGGAACCTGTACATAGATCAAGAGGCAGTTGTTTCACCAGAACAAGGGGATACTGGGTGGTTTAAAGTCAGGAAAGGTGCCCATCTGGGTTGTATCCTTTCACCATACCTATTTAATCTGTATGCTGAGCAAATAATCCCAAGAAGCTGGACTATATGAAGAAGAACAGGACATCAGGATTGGAGGAAGACTCATTAACAACCTGCGATATGCAGATGACACAACCTTGCTTGCTGAAAGCAAAGAGGACTTGAAGCACTCACTGATGAAGATCAAAGACCACAGCCTTTATTTACTTTGGATTACACCTCAGCATAAAGAAAACAAAAATCCTCACAACTGGACCAATAAGCAACATCACAATAAACTGAGGAAAGACTGAAGTTGTCAAGGATTTCAGTTTACTTGGATCTGAAATCAACACCCATGGAAGCAGCAGTCAGGAAATTAAAAGACACATTGCACTGGGCAAATCTGCTGCAAAAGACCTCTTTAAAGTGTTGAAAAGCAAAGACGTCACCTTGAAGACTAAGGTGCGCCTGACCCAAGCCATGGAATTTTCAATTGCATCATATGCATGCAAAAGTTGGACAGTGAGTAAGGAAGACCGAAGAAGAATTGATGCCTTTGAATTGTGGTGTTGGCAAAGAATATTGAACATACCGTGGACTGCCAAAAGAACAAACAAATCTATCTTGGAGGAAGTACCACCAGAATGCTCCTTAGAAGCAAGAATGGCGAGACTACATCTTACATTCTTTGGACGTGTTGTCAGGAGGGATCACTCCCTGGAGAAGGACATCATGCTTGGTAAACCACTACAGGGTCAGCGAAAAAGAGGAAGACCCTCAACGAGATGCAGTGGCTGCAACAATGGGCTCAAGCATAGCAACGATTGTGAGCATGGCGCAGGACTGAGCAGTGTTTCATTCTGTGGTGCATAGGGTTGCTGTGAGTCGGAACCGATTCGACAGCACCTAACAATAACAAGAAAAGTTGGAGATATTTTTTGTGATTTCATATAACAAAACCAAAAGCCTCTTTAAGTGTTTCTAAACTCAATATAACTGCTTTTCACTCTCCATTCAATCAAGTCTTTCATTTGTTCAATGAACTAATTTCAACTAGTTAGATGTAAGGAATTGACAAATAAGATTTGAATTTTCTTAAGTTTAAACTCCTTAACAGAAGAGGGTTTTGACCCAAATGAACCTGTGAAACATTATGAACACTTTGAACGGAAACTTTTTCTACCCTTGGTCATCCAAAGCAATCCACCTCAAAAAATAACAGAAGTAAGCAACTTTGTATACTTTTTCTGAAGAGTGTTACCCTGGGAACTATAGTTTCACCAGAAAAATTAAACTCAGAATAATTTAAGTAGCTACTTTAATCATTAGTCATCTCATACTCAAAACCAATAGTTCTGTGATGTATTCCTGGATTTTTGATTCATACTATTTTATAGAACAAATTATGACAAATTTTAAGTTGCTAATTATTAACTTCTAGGAAAAATTTTACTGTTAAGAATAAACTTATTAAATTTTACATCATTTATATTAAACAAGAATGTATCTCCCAGTTCCTTCTGCTAATAATAATATAAAAAGTTATGATATTTTCCAGCTGAAGAAGTAGGATCATTGAACACTTTATTCTAGCATTGTAGAAATTTGTATATTAAGAAGGATACTGGATCTAGATAATACTCCAAAAACTTTGATGTAATACCTTCAAATTTAAATTAAGTGCATGCCTCTATGAATATTTTTGAAGCAATGTGAGAGAATAAGTAAATATTGTTAAAAAAATTATTATTTTATCCCCTTTCTTTATCCTATTATACAGACTCTCTGGTTACCAATGATTAGATGCTTGTCTGAATTCCTCTGTAAACCAGTCAATGAATAAGAATTCAAGGTAATTGTGACTTCCCTATATCGGCAGTTCGGATCCACCAGCTGCTCCTTGGAAACCCTATGGGGCAGTTCTACTCTGTCCTGTAGGGTTGCTATTAGAATTGACTCAATGGCAATGGGTTTTTTGTTTTCTTTTTGTTTTTTTTATATCAGCCTATAAAAATCTGAGGAGATGAGTAAGGCAACTTATTTTCATTCAGATATTTTTATGAACACATATGGCATAAGTAATTAACATTAATATAGCATCCTGGTATATATCTTTATTCCTAAAGAGTCCTCATACTTGTTTGAAGTTACTACAGTACTCTCTAACCAATGTCAAAACTATCAAATATCATTTAGTTTAAACTGCTTTTATTAGATATATCCTCAAGAAAAATATCAACACTTACGTGCTAATATGAAGGTCCCAAACCTCCACCCTGGTCTCATTGGCAGCTGCAAATATATAGGATGATTTTGGAGACCAGACAACATCATAAACAACATAAGTAGTTGGATACAATGTCAAAAATGGCTTGATATTGTCCTGTTGCCATATAATAACACCCCAATCTGCAGAACAACTTAAGAATACATCATGACAAAATGGATTCCATGCTATTTTATACACTGGACCCTAGAATTAGAAAAATAAAATACATAGGTAAATAATATTTAACATCTTATACTTGAAACTTAAATATGCTAACTTTCATAGAAAATTTATGCACCATCCATTATTGTGTGGGTATTATTTCAGCTGAGAGCAAGGTTATAAATTTAATCTTCCCTAAATTATTCCATACAGCAACATAAAAATAGAGTTACTATAATACTCACTAAATAGTAATATATATTATTCCTAATTACTTTAAAATGATAGCAATGAGTGCTAAGAAAACAAACAGAAATGAGGGAGAAAATGAAGAAAACACAGATGGAACAATCATAAAAATGTAGAGGACAGGCACATACTAGAAACAATTTTATGTTTGGCTCAGCATGTTATCATAATTAAAGTTTTTTAAAAACAAATAAAAATTATGATTTACATAAGATTCAAGAAAAAAATCAAAGATATCTAGAAGCCAAATAAAATACCTCACACATTATTGGTGATTTCGATGCAAGAAAGCACTTGAGTTGGTATTTTTAACTATCATGTTGCAAATTTATTGGATGTAAAAGTACTATGAATGATGATACTATATTTTTGTAGAAACATTACAAGATAAATTAATTTTTATGTATCTACTATAATTAAACTAACCTTATGTCCTCGGTAAGTATCTAGGTATTGTTCATTATACGAACAAGAACATTTGTGAATATGACCTTCTTCAGTGCCAGCCAAATAGATATTTGTGTCCTACAACACAAAAATCAAAATGTATTGGCCTGTAATAATAAGTGTGCTAAATAGAAGATTAGGTAATTCAGAACCTACTAAAATTCATTTAAGAACCAAACCTAAAATACTGTCTTGAAGATGTTGGTAGCCATCCAGAAGGCTCTAACTCATGATGACCTTAAGTATAACAGAAAGAAACATTGCCTGGTCCTGTGCCAGCCTCACAATCTTTGGTAAGTTTGAACCCATGAAGATAGTTGTCTTTTTTCTATCATAATTTATAATAATTAAACTACCTGAAGGCCTACTGTTCAAAGAGAATATAGATTTGTCCTTTGTTGGAGTAGAGTAGTACTTAACATCCTATCTAGAAAGGGCATGGAGAAGTTTAGCTTAAGATGAGAAAGAGATTCTCTAACATTTATAACTGCCTGACAATGGAGCTAGCAGTCTAGGGAAATAATAAGTGCTCTTTCATTAGAGCTAGTCAAAGAGAAAGTGGATAACTTAACAATAACTGGGTAGGTCTGTAATGCTGAAGAAATGATTACTGGTAGGGGTGAGAGGTTGGACTTAGGTGGTCTCTCAGACATCTTTAACTGTAAATTTATATACTAAATAGGAATTTAAAATGCATTTTCTATCTTAGGCCATAGTCAAAAAGTCTGAAAGTCAGTGTTCTCTTTCCTCGCTACATAGAGTATGGTCACTGTTACACGTTGTTGTTGTTTGCCGTCAAGTCAATTCTGACTCATAGTGGCCCCGTGTGACAGAGTAAAACTTCCCCATAAGGTTTTCTTGGCTATAATCTTTATGGAGGGAGATCGACAGGTCTTTCTCCCACAGAGTCGCTGGTGGGTTCGAACTGCCAACCTTTTGGTTAGCAGCTGAGCGTTTAAATGTTTGTGCTACCAGGGCTCTTTATGTATTGATCCTAAGTTATTTCTTCATAGTTGGCTGAGGCCTGTTAGCCTAAAAAGAGTGCCAAAGTCAAATTTTTACACATCCAATTGTTTTAAAAATAGCTCAGTTAAGCAAATTTTTAGCGATTTAGAGCCTGCCTGCTTTGTATACCCGGTAAAACTATGCCTAACACCTGCTAGTCAAAGATAAGATAAACTCCAAGCCGCTGTAGCCCTTCAGAGCTCTCTGACCCAGAGACTCCCCACCTTGCAGCTGTGGGACATTGCCTAGACATGTAAGCCCCCCTCTGCTTCATCCCTTCGCCTAGGAGATCCCTTGCCCTTATCCCCTTCTGGTGACTTTTTGTATCACTTGCCTTTGGAGAATCTCTTGTTGCAAGGGACTGCCCCTTGCATGCAAAATTTCAAGCTGCCATGGCCCCAATAAACAGCTTGTTGTGCAACACTGCCATCTCATGTTTATATCTTTTTTCTTGATCTGCCCCATATTCCCTTGAACTCACATCAGACCAACAGCATGAGCATCTCCTGGAAGCATTTTGGAATTACAGAATTTCAGGTTCTACCCCAGACCTACTGAACCAGAATTTCATTTGAACAAGATCCCTGTAATGGATTGAATTGTGTCCCCCAAAAATATGTCAACTTGGCTAGGCCTTGATGCCCAGTATTGTGTGATTGTCCACCATTTTGTCTCTGATGTGATTTTCCTATGTGCTTTATATCCTACCTCTATGATGTTAATGAGGAAGGATTAGAGGCAGTTATGTTAATAAGGCAGGACTCAATCTACAAGATTAGGTTGTATCTTGAGTCAATCTCTTTGCGATATAAAAGAGAGAAGTGAACAGAGAGACAAGAGGACCTCATACCACCAAAAAACAAGAGCCAGGAGAATTGCACCAAATCTGGTGTGGGGATGGCAGAATTCCCTTGTGAGGCCTGCTAGGTAAAGCCTTTGTAATTGCGTATGGTCATGCCTAAAATATCACACATAGCTTTTTGGCCAGGAGCAAGACTTCTCAGGATAATGCATCATGACAAAGGAGGGTTTATTCAAAGGAATAAACATTCAAAAATAATGAATGTAATTCAGCCTATTAACAAATTTAAAATGAAAAACTATATGATCATTTCAATAGATGCAGAAAAAGCATTTGACAAAATTCTGATAAAAATTTTCATTAGTCTAGGAATGTAAAGGAACTTCCTCAACATGATTAATAGCATCTTAAAAAAATACATAAATAAATAAAACCTTCAGGGGACATCATACTTAATGGTAAAAGATTGGATGCTTTCCCCTAATATCAGAAAAAAGACAGAGTTGTCCATTTTCACCACTTCTTTTCACCATTCACTGGATGTTCTAGCTTGTGCAATCAGGCCAGAAAAAGAAATAAAAGACAACCAGATTAGAAAAGAAGAATTAAAACCATCTTTATTTACAGATGACATAATTATCTTGAATTCCTTATGCCAAAGATCTTTCCAGGACACCAGACCAGGGTTTCTCAACCCTAAACTATTGACATTTTGGGCCAGATAATTCTTTTTTAGGAGGGGGAGGGTGATTCTCTTGTGTATTATAGGACGTTTAACAGCATACCAGGCCTCTGCCCACTAGATTACAATGCACTCCTCCACTCCCCAGCTGAGGCAACCAACAGTATCTCCAGACACTGCCAAATATCCCCTGGGAATAGGGGGAGATTCCCCTTTCCCATGGCCCCCATTCCAACCCATGTTGAGATCCATTTTCCTAGAGTCAAGATGAAAGGCAGATTATAGGAGTTTGAGAATGAAGGCAATTAGAAGATGGCTGCAGTAGTACAAGTAAAAAATAATAGAGGCCTGAACTACATTAGTAGTAGTAGACTTGGATTGGAAAGGATGGGATAATAAGACATATCGTTTGGATGATAGAGTGGAACAGAGAAGGAACTTGGATTTTGGTTTACCTAATTAGGTAGACTCAACAGCAACGGTTTGGTTTCTTATTGGTTTTTAATTAGGTAGATGGTGGTAGTACTTAAGAGATGATCACACTACATATTACAGAAAACATACAAGATATATTTTCTTAGAAGTCTGTCACAGTGACTGATTTTTCTGATGCCAAACCCCTTAATATAAAAATAATTAGAAAAAGTAGAACTTCTTTAACTGTGCTCTGTTTTGATTCTGGCCTTGACAAACATGAATTTAAGTGGTCTTCCTGATCTCCAAAATCCTAAGAGTCACCACTTGCATTAAAATGTAGGGGATTTCTATAGTGGATTTGGTTCTGTAGGTATGATAGAAGAGCAGAGCGTCCAAGAGGGGCAAGGAGGGACACTCAAGTTAAGCATACAGTTGTAAAGAGAATCATTCCATAGTTCCTCAAAAACATATACCTTTTCCTATCTGGAAAAGTAGATAAAGAAAACAGTATAGTCAAGTGAAATGTGCCTTCATACCTTGGGTTGACAGCTAGGTCTATGTTTATTTTTTTTACTTACAAGGAACAGTATTAACATGTTAACTTTTTTTTTTCTTGTTTTATAGCTTAATACATTTCAATTGTTGGACGTTGTTATATGCAATAGAAAAATAATGGATTTAAATAATGTACCTTGGGATGAAAAGCGAAACACAATCCAGGAGCCTGTCGAGATATCAAAGCTTCACCTTTCTTTTCCATTTCCCCTCCTTTTTTGTTGGAGCTAGTAGTAGTTCGCCTCAATTTCATCAAATCTTTATTTAAAGAAAAAGAAATGTATAATATTATATACCACATGAAGAAGTACCACAAACATCATGTGTGTCCTTTGTGTGTAATTATATTATCATTTCTACCAGTTTTGCATGTGATTAGGCTAAAATCAGGACATACCATTCGACTGTGTGGATCATAACAAATTATGGATAACACTGTGAAGAATGGAAATTCTAGAACACTTAATTGTGCTCATGTGGAAACTGGACATAGACCAAGAGGTGGTCGTTCAAACAGAACAAGGGAATACTGAGTAGTTTAAAATCAGGAAAGGTGTCCACCACATAAAAAGAACAAAAGAAGACAATCACATGATCAACTCAATCAATGCAGAAAAGGCATGTGATAAACTCCAACACTGATTCCTGATAAAAACTCTCAATAAGATAGGAATAGAAGGGAAATTCCTCAACATCTATACAAAACCAACAGCCATCATCATCCTCAATGTAGAGAGGCTGAAAGCATTCCCCCTGAGAAAGGGAACAAGACAAAGATGCCCTTTATCACCACTCCTATTTAACATTGTGCTGGAAGTCCTAGCTAGACCAATAAGGTGGGAAAAAGAATAAAGGGCATCAAAATTGAAAAGGAAGAAGTAAAACAATCCCTATTTGCAGATGATATGATCCTATACATAGAGAACCCCAAAGATTCCACAAGAAAACTGCTGGAATTAATAGAAAGATTCAGCAGAGTGCATCATATAAGATGGACATACAAAAATCAGTTGGATTCCTATACACCAACAAAGAGAACTTGGAAAAGGAAATCCAGAAAACAATACCATTTATAATAGCCCTTAAAAAGATAAAATACTTAGGAATAAATCCAACAAGGGACATAAAAGACCTATACAAAGAAAACTTAAACCAAAAAAGACCTACACAAATAGAAAAACATACCATGCTAACAGATATGAAGACTCAACATTGTGAAAATGTCAATCCTACTCAAAGCAATCTACAGATATAATGCAATCCTGATCCATACACCAACAACATTCTTTACCGAGATGGAAAAATTAATCACCAAATTTACATGAAAAGGAAAGAGGCCCCAGATAAGCAAAGCATTACTGAAGAAAAAGAATAAAGTAGCAGGCCTTACACTACCTGATCTCAGAACCATGGTAGTCAAAACAGCCTGGTACTAGTACAACGACAGACACATAGACCAAAACAACAGAATTGAGAACCCGATGTAAATCCATCCACCTATGGTCAGCGGATCTTTGATGAAGGACCAAAGTCCAGTATATGGGGAGAAGAGAGTCTTTTTAACAAATGATGCTGGCAAAACTGGATGTCCATCTGCAAAAAAAAAAAAAAAGAAACAGGACCCATACCTCACACCATACCCAAAAACTAACTCAAAATTATCAAAGACCTAAACATAAAACCTAAAATGATAAAGATCATGGAAGAAAAATTAGGGACAACGCTTGTTGTTGTTAGGTGCCGTCGAGTCGGTTCTGACTCATAGCGACCCTATGTACGAGAGAACAAAAAACTGCCCAGCCATGTACCATGCCCACAATAG